TGGTGAAATTAAGAAATTGTCACTGGAAGCTAATAATGATTTGTTAATTGCGCAGTGTTTCATATTCTTCGCAGCCGGATTTGAAACCTCTTCAACAACATTAAGTTACACTCTTTACGAAATAGCAAAGAGTAAAAAAATCCAAACTAAAGTACTTGAAGAAGTAGATTCATATTTAGCTTCGCACAACAACAAGCTGAATTACGACTGTGTTACGGAGCTGCCATACTTGGAAGCAGTTATAGATGAAGCTCTACGTTTCTACCCAGTCCTTGGAATGATCCCGCGGGAGCTGATGGAGGACTACACAATGCCTGATGGAACAAAGTTAGACAAAGGCTTACGCGTGCATTTACCTGTGTACTATTTACATCATAATCCGAAGTTCTACCCAGAACCTGAAGAATTCCGTCCAGAAAGGTTCCTGGGCGAGGAGAAGAAGAATATCGTCCCATACACCTACATGCCGTTTGGAGAAGGACCTCGTCTTTGTATTGGTAAGTAATATTATTTGTTTTTGTGAAATTAATGCGAAAGAACATGTGTTAAGAAAACTAAACTCAGTTTCAAGTTGCATTGGGTTGAGTATTGAACGTATTCATGGAGAAATTTGTTGTTCAAAATAAATATTTTATAGATAAGTTATAAAATTTATGTATATTGTGATAACATATCATCTGATAAAAGTGCAAACTTGAAATATCTGGCTGAATTTATATCAGAACAAATAAAAAATGCAAAATGAAGAATAACACCTAAAACATTCTGGCATTTTCTGTATCAAAATCAACTACATTTTGAAAAATTGCCGTAATCAAACATATCTTGTTTGTGCACAATTGCATTTAAAATATTTCAAATAATTAGTATCTACTACTATACATACTACTGCACGGAGTCATCAAGGACTGACAGCTGAATGTAGATTTGTAGGTTCTACAATTTCGTTCAAGTTTCAAAGAAGCTCCGACTCTCTCTTTGTGTTTACTGTTATAAACGATGACGTACTTGTTGCTAAAAATACTTAACATTATAAATATATTAAACTTGTTATCTTACTAAAAATCGTCGATGTGATAAAAAATAGATACAGCAAATTGTGTAACAAAAAATGTCGAACAACATGACGTTGTCGAAAACCAAAAGATTAGGCGATATATCACATAATATGTACAGTGAAGACAGCCATACGCTAACAGTGCAGTTCGACACACCCACACGTGGCGGTCGGTCCACACGCGGTAGTGGCACAACGCGATGTTTTTATATCTAACATTAATATTACTAGTACTCTTGTACTATGTTATCACGCGTAAATATAGTTACTGGGAAAATAAAAACGTACCACACATCAAACCCACTTTTTTATTGGGTAACTATGGAGACTTGATATTACAAAAAGATGCATTTGGACAGGTGCTCCAAAATATTTGCAATAAATTTCCGAATGCGAAATTTGTTGGAACATATTTCGGTACAGAACCCGCACTAATCCCTAAGGATCCAGAAATTATCAAACTAATTGTGACTAAGGACTTCAACTACTTCAGTGGCCGAGATTTATCAGAACACAATGACAAAGAGCCCATTGCTGTCAATGTGTTTGCCACTTACGGCGACACGTGGAGAGTACTGCGCCAGAATCTAACGCCTCTGTTCTCTTCAGCTAAAATGAAGAATATGTTCCATCTCATCGAAAAGTGTTCACATACACTTGAAGCAGTATTAGATCGAGAAACTAAAATTTCTAATGTAATAGAAGCCAAGTCGTTAAATTCAAGATTCACCATGGAATGTATCGGAGCTTGTGCCTTTGGTGTAGATACGAAGACTTTGACAGAAGAAAAAGATGAGAATCCGTTTAGAAAAATTGCGTCGTTTGCAGAACCACCAGCAATAGCTTGCTTACTTCGAGTAATCCATGATGTGTGGCCATCAATATTTTATGGGCTGAGGTTAAATATAGGAGCAAAGATTGTTGACTTCTTTCGCAATCTGATTACTACTGTTATGACTCAGCGAGGATACAAATCTTCTGGACGCAATGATTTCATTGACTTGGTTATGGGTTGGAAAGAAAACCACCATATAATAGGGGATAGTATAAAGAACCCTAAAACTGGTGAAGTTAAGAAACTAACGTTGGAGGTTAATGATGATTTGTTAGTGGCTCAATGTTTTGTTTTCTTCGCTGCTGGATTTGGGACATCAGCCACTACATTAAGTTATACACTATTTGAACTAGCCAAGAATGAATATATTCAAGAAAAAGTGTTGCAAGAAGTTGATGCATATTTAGCACGTAATAAAAATAAACTGAAATATGAGTGTATCATGGAGATGCCGTACTTGGAGGCTGTTATTGATGAGACTCTTCGTATTCATCCGATTCTTGGCGTAATACCACGGCAGCTGATGGAAGATTACACTCTGCCTGGTGGCGTGAAGTTAGAGAAAGGTCTTCGTATACATATTCCAACGTACTATCTGCACCATAATCCTGATTATTTCCCCGAACCTGAGGTGTTTCGTCCTGAAAGATTTCTTGATGACCAAAAACAAAACATTATTCCTTATACATATATGCCGTTTGGAGAGGGACCAAGAACTTGTATTGGTGAGTACTTATTGTTGAACTGGTCGACTTTCTTTGATGTACGCATTTTGTTATACCTCATGCCCGTATAGTAACTGTTATCGAAACTTTCATCCACCTATTATCAGTTACAAGTTTTATTTAAATTTTATTCTTTATTCTCTTAAATGTAAATAAATAATAAATACTCTCAAACATGATATATTTTATGCAAGTCACTTATAAGTCGTCGTCGTCAGTCGTCGGCACTTGGATAACAGCTGTTCCGCGATAACAGCTAAAGTAGTCACTCCAATTTGAAGTGCGTCACATAACTAGTTTACATCGATTCACCGACGCGACGTACTCAAATATAATAATAAACAGCGCTGGCCAGTCAGTCAACTGAGACCGTCTAGGGAAACAACACGATGTTTCTGTATTTATTCGTAATAATATTGATTCTTTTTTATTATGTAATCACGCGTAAATATGATTACTGGAAAGTCAGAAATGTTGCTCACTCCAAGCCCACATTCTTACTGGGAAATTATGGTGACATGATCCTCCAGAAGAAATCATTCGGAGAAAATATTCAAGATTGTTGTAATGAATTTCCGGAAGCAAAATATATTGGAGTATTCTTTGGCACGGAACCTGTACTTATACCCAAGGATCCAGAAATAATTAAATTGATTGTGACCAAAGATTTTTATTATTTTAATGGACGGGAGTTGTCTAAATATAACCACTTGGAGCCTGCTGCATTGAATGTGTTCGCGACGTATGGTGACAACTGGAGAGTACTCCGTCAGAATATGACTCCACTATTCTCATCAGCAAAGATGAAGAACATGTTCCATCTCATTGAAAAATGCTCATATGTCTTTGAAGAAATGTTGGATCGTGAAATTAAAATTTCAAATGAATTAGAAGTTAGAAGTATGACGTCGAGATATACAATGGAATGTATTGGAGCCTGCGCGTTTGGTGTCGACACAAATACTATGGCAGAAGGAGTAGAAGAAAATCCATTTAAAAAAATTGCAGCATTTGTTGAGCCCCCGGCATATGTAGTTTATGTTAGAATAATTCGTTCGATATGGCCGTCGATATTTTATTTATTTGGAGGGCGGCTATTGAAAAAGCAGTTGGAGTTCTTTAAGAATCTAATTACTTCTGTGATGTCAAAACGTGAATATAAACCTTCTGGAAGACACGATTTCGTAGATCTCGTAATGAGTTGGAAGCAAAATCATCAAATAGTGGGTGACAGTATCAAAAATATGAAAACTGGTGAACATAAGAAAGTGACATTAGAAGCAAATGATGACTTATTAGTTGCTCAATGTTTTGTATTCTTTGCGGCTGGGTTTGAGACGTCATCAACCACTTTGAGCTATACTCTGTATGAACTGGCAAAGCATGAAGAAATACAGACAAAAGTATTGGATGAAGTCGATGCATATTTAGCTCGTCACAACAACAAGCTGAATTACGATTGTGTTACGGAGCTGCCATACTTGGAAGCAGTTATAGATGAAGCTCTACGTTTCTACCCAGTCCTCGGAATGATCCCGCGGGAGCTGATGGAGGACTACATAATGCCAGATGGAACAAAGTTAACTAAAGGTTTACGTGTACATTTACCTGTGTTCTACTTGCACCATAATCCGGAGAATTACCCAGAACCTGAAGTGTTCCGTCCAGAAAGATTTCTGGGGGAGGAGAAGCGTAATATAAATCCGTACGTGTACCTGCCGTTTGGAGAAGGACCCAGGACTTGCATTGGTGAGTTAAAATATAAAATTAAGAAGTCATTTATAAGTTGAGGCTAATCAAAACAAATACGGACAAATTAGTGTGCGAGAAACTAGGCATCATCGAAGTATGAGGAATAACCAGTTTTGAGATGTATTGTTTTTTGTAACGTAGAACCGGATCTGTTTGCATGGCGATCATATTTTTGTAATCTCGTTAATGCAGTGCGCATAGTAACATAATATGTGTGACTTTGTTAGTGCTAATGATAGTGTTATTTTTACTTAATCCAAACAATGAATTATCTAGTAGCTATCGTACCTACTTAATTTTAATAACAACGATATTATCATCGTGTCGGCCCCCCTCCACAAAAGAGATACCATTACGCTAGATAACACACTTACCATATTTAACCAAAACAGTTTGCCTAGGAACTAAATTTTAGCCATTGTTTGTAGAATAATCTCAAAGTCCATGAAGGTAAAAAAGTGGGTGTGAGTAATTTTTATAATTATAGTTGTATGGGGAATTACTGTTACTATTTATAGTACAAACATATTTGTACTTGCTAACACAATCGTTGTTATCATGATAATGTGTCATCGCCAGTCATTTACGGGCAAAATACAAAAAGTGTACTTACGTACAAAAATGTACGTATATACCTCTATATAGATAGAGTGAGCAGTCAATACGCTGTGCTGTGTGTGCGAACATTAAGGACGATTAGTCAACGCGAGTCGCGCAGTGAATCAATATGATTTTTCTGTACCTCATACTAGTGTTCATATTTCTCTTTTACTATGTTGTTTCACGTAAATATAATTACTGGAAAATTAGAAACGTGCCATATACGGAGCCAACATTTTTATTGGGAAATTTTACTGATATGTTTCTCGACAAGAAGTTTAACGGAGAAATAATCGACGATATTTGCAAGCAGTTTCCAGACAACAAGTACGTTGGAGCTTTCAACGGTATTGAACCTGTCCTAATTCCTAAAGATCCAGAAATAATCAAGTTGATCGTGACCAAGGACTTTTATTACTTTCATGGACGAGCGTTATCAAAATACAATGACAAGGAACCGGGTGGCTTGAACCTCTTCGGTACATTTGGTGATAATTGGAGGGTTATCCGGCAAAATATGACTCCATTGTTCACATCAGCCAAAATGAGAAACATGTTCCATCTTATAGAAAAATGTTCCCACGAATACGAAGCTATGATAGATCGAGAAATTAAGATTTCCAAGGAGCACGATGTGATGCCGATGACTACAAGGTTCACTATGGACTGTATTGGAGCCTGCGCTTTTGGTATAGATACTAAAACAATGACAGAAGGAGAGGACGATAATCCGTTCAGAAGGATAATACGTTCTTCAAAACCTAAGAAAAGTATGATTTATCAGGGTATGCTGCGATCTTTGTATCCTGAAATCTATTATGCTCTTGGTTTTAAGATGCCTAGCACCCAATTGGATTTTCTGCATAAGTTGGTCACTTCTGTGATGAAACAACGGGATAACAAACCTTCTGAGAGGAACGATTTTGTAGACCTCATTATGAGTTGGAAACAAAAGCATCAAATAGTGGGTGATAGCATCAGGAATATGAAAACTGGTGAACATGAAAAAGTGGTATTGGAAGCGAGCGATGATTTACTGATAGCTCAGTGCTACGTTTTCTTTGCTGCTGGTTTTAAAACATCAACTACTGCTCTAAGTTACACTTTATATGAAATCGCAAAACATGAAGATGTTCAGAATAAAGTATTTAATGAAATAGACTCGTATTTAGCTCGTCATAATAACAAAATAAACTACGATTGTGTTTCGGAGCTGCCATACTTGGACGCTGTCATAGATGAGACATTCCGGGTCTACCCAGTTCTCAGTGTAATACCAAGGGAGCTGATGGAGGACTACACAATGCCCGATGGAACGAAGTTGGATAAAGGTTTAACTGTACAATTGCCTGTATACCATCTTCACCATAACCCAAAATTCTACCCAGAACCTGAAGTATTTCGTCCAGAACGATTTATGGGTGAAGAGAAAAAGAAAATCAATCCGTATGTATATTTACCGTTTGGAGAAGGACCAAGAGTATGTATAGGTGCGTTCTATTTTTACAAAGATATTGTAAAACTTGAAGACTTTAAACGAATTAATTGATTTATTCCTTTAAAGAAAATAATGTAATGTACTTTACACATCTTTGTGTTAAGTTATTCGTTTTCCTTATTCAAAACACGGTGTAGGCTTGTTTATTTAGCCATCACAGTGAAACGAGTTGTCAAGGTCAAATCAACGCGGTCAGTCACCGTGACCAAGTGGAGTTATTATTTATAGATTTTTGAATAGAATACCTTTTTTAATATATGTTACAGGTCATTCCTTTGACTTGTCCCAACGTGTTTGTGGTGGATCAGTATAGATTCTTTTCGTTTTGGTTTAGAACTTGAGACTCAATTGTCGACTTGGTGGTTTACGAATTCAAAAAGTTTATTTTGCGCAGCAAAATTTGTGTGATGAGTTACCTATACTGGTTTTTACTACATTAATTGTCTTAGTCACGAGTTTTCTTATTACTAACGAACATTTTTTTGTTTTTTAAAGTAGCAATGATAATATTTCTATTTTTAAACATGTCATTGTGAAATTACTTAGAAACGGAAATTTGGATTCATTACTAATATTGTTTTCGATTGATATTGAAGATTATGATTTGTGAATATTGAACAAATATACAATGTAGATAATGATACTGCGAAGGTAGTACTATAAATATATTGTGTTGTCAATAGATAAGATACGAGGAACTCAAGTATAGAAAAGACACCTGATAAATGATATGGATAGGTGTGGTTTTAATAACTTATTATTAATTTACTCACTATCAGCACATATGAAATAAAAATTGTGATCACAGAATTTGTGACTAACAAGTAATTGTAGAAGTTAATATTATTTCTAAGTTGTTTACCAGTAAATCTTAATGTCATATTATATAATAATATAATAGAAGAACAGCTAATAAGCTGTTCTTCTATTACCTTCGCTATCAATTTAAGGTGAAACAGAGTTAACACTTTTCAGTATAGATTTTACATTTTTTCCATTGATTAACAAAAATTTTTTCCCTATTTTTTTTACTTTGTGTACTTTTAGGTGATTTGATACATCTCCCAATTGACCGACATTGTCCATTATTATGTAGTTTGCTTTTGCCCAAATTATTCATATTTCCTTTTTGTTCTCAGGTATGAGGTTCGCAAAGATGCAAATGTTGGCTGGTCTGATCACGATGTTGAAGAAGTATCGCCTGGAGTTAGCTGATGGTATGCCGACGAAGCTGAAGTTCAAGGCCCAGTCCTTTATCACGCACCCAGTAGGAGGAATCAGGATCAAATTTATTGAAAGAGAGGGATGGGAGAGTAGGGTGTTTGCTAAGAGTAGCTAAATTCATGGACAGTTGGCATCCCATCATGGATTTGTTCAGGCGTGTTTATGGAAATTGTAGTACCATTTTTTTATTGACAGCTTAGTTATCTGGAGAATTTGACACACATGAACAAAGCCATGATTTTTTAAAACGACGGAGTAAGAACTAAGGTCTTTAAATCAAAATTGGAATGATTTAAGCATAATGTTATATTGAATTATTTTTTAGTAAATCTTGGTGTGTCAAGCACTATAATTTTGTTTTTAAATGGAACTGAGATTTATCAGCTCAAATTTTTTAATAGTATGTGACTGTTTTTTTATTATTTGTATTGTTTACCTTAACATTGGTATTGTATTAGTTCCCAGCTAGCTGTAATCGAGGTTAATGACTAAGATTTTATTTTAATTGGTATCTATTGCAGATAAAAAGGTTTTAATAGTGACAATGTTTATAAAATACTGTAATTTTATTTTGTGAGATATCAGCATATTTAACAAAACATCTTTAGTGCTTGTATTAATTATTATATCAATTATACTTTAATACACAAAGCTTTGAGTTTTTCCTTTATCATCTGTCCTTAATCATGTGTGTGTCTTTGCATTGTTCCCACATATATCTACGGCATTGGAATTGGAATATATATGAGAGATATTGTAGAGGTAGAACATACTTTTTTTAAAAAGAGTAACGAATGGAGTTTCTTGCTCGTTCTTCTCCATTCGAATCTACATTTTGAAATGAGCACCTAGCTACACTTAGCTTTTACCTAGCTTCACTGACGGACTGACTGACAGACTATTATTTATTTTTGTATTATTCATTTAATTGAAATATAAAAAAAATGTATTAAGAAACCAGTGTTGTACAATATACTTGAAGTAAACTTTTCCAACGTTCATAGGTATATGTGTTATTATAGAAATATTTTAGTATCATATTGTTGTTATATCCATACAAATATTAGAATCCCCTTAGAATATGGAAGTAAGGTAAAATCTTGGATAAAATGTGTCCTAGATCCATAAAAAGAAATACATTTTGTATTAGAATAATTTCTTTTAGATAATGTTGGAGCCAAGATCCTCAAGGGAGATGAATGAAACGAAACAACTGAATATCGAGAGAGACATCGATATCACTTTTATTATTTACGGAGTATTTTACTTGGATGTTTTTTGTTATTGAGGAGCATTAGCATAATGATATCCGCTCAGACGGACGCTCACACGAGATTAGGTACTGAGCGGTTTTGTTTCGAGTAGATTTGGTTTATGAATTCAATTTCTTTAATGTCTACAAATTGCATTAAGTTAACTAAGATATATATATATGACAGGCGTCATATATATATCTGTAGAACAGAGTGATTGTCTAGCAAGGTGGTTGCAATTAATGGCAGTAGTTTTAAGTGTAACTATCAAGAGATTTTAAATTTGATTCTCAAGTCGTCGTAAAACTATATATGTACACTTTTTTTTAGAATAATTTTCAAGGCACCTCATAATCAAGGAAAAATCTCAATACATGTAAGACTTCTGCCCGCGACTTCGTACACGTTTTTTCCTGTTCCCGTTCGTGATTTTTGGTAAAAGAAAAAAAAATGAATAAAAAGTAGGTATCCTATGTCCGTCTTCACAACATCACTATCACTACATAACTAAAGTTGCTATCCACCGTCTGTCTATCCCTGTGTATGCTTAGATCTTTAAAACTACGCAAGGAATTTTATGTTTTTTTTTTAATAGATAGTGATTAAGGAAGGTTTATATATATATAATAAATGCATATTGCACCCGTGCGAAGCCGGGGCGGGTCGCTAGTACAACATATAACATAAAACAAACGAATGATGTTGTGTATTAAATTTATGCATCTCTGATCTTTGCTTCAGCTAGGTATAATATCACGCACATAATTCTAATCCTTGGCAGTAACATCAAACATTGGTTCTATAAACAGAAACATGAAAATAACTATTACTATTTATGAGCGCAATGATAAATAGAGCCAGTGGCTTTCTTGGGGGTCAGCAGGAGCGTTGGTAATTAATGATACGTAACACTCGACCTTGAAGGGGCTAGGGAACAAGCGATTTGATGAGGTTCAGGGAATAATGCCTGTAAAAGTATTTTGTTCAGAACCTTTGAAATCAAGAGTACCTACAATTTTCGGATGAACTCAGATTAAGTACATAACATAACATAACATCACGCCTTTTATCCCCGAAGGGGTAGGCAGTGTACATTATGCCACTGTACAATGTAAAACCCACTCTTCACTATTTATGTTATGAGTCCCATGTTATAGGGGGTGAGTCTATTGCCATATACCGGGCACAATTCCAGACTCCGTGCTACAACGGTGAATTTTTGAAAAACCCACTTATACTTTGCCCGACCCGGGAATCGAACCCGAGACCCCTTGTCCGGCAGTCGCATTGCGACCGCTCAGCCAATAAGGCAGTCAGTCTCAACGTATATAAGTTTTATTGACTTCTATATTTAGTGTAGTCGTGTGATGGTATGATACAGTGCCTTTTAAGACCACGGTTACAATAAATACCTGAGTATGTAGTCACTATAATGCGTCTCGTTGAGTTTGTCGCTGATACATTGTAGGCGCTGCATAAATGAAATCGCAATTGTGGGCTGTGGAAAAGGATACTTGATTTTTTTCAGTAATTATAATAGAACGGTGTCTGGTTTTATGCTCGGTGTGTGACTAGAGAGCAATTTCGTAATAGTCATAAAAAGAGAATGTTAATTTCCGTGGTGCTTGGCGACTGGGCTTCACCCAGTTGTACAGTATCTTCTTTGTGCCTTTAGGCTTAATTCATTCTGTCTCCTGCAGTACCGAGAGAAGTTCACCGAGAGAAGTGGAAACTATAGATTTTCTTCTTCTCCTCTTATAATATCTAATGATTCACTTCTTTGCGGGAACCAAGACAGTTACTCATGTCTCTGGGACGCGCCAGACTTCAATGTACCGGTGTTTTCATGGTTGTATCTACTGTAGATCCTGGCTTACAGGAGATGCAGTGGTTTTGGGAGGTTGTGGCGGGCTTGTCCCAATTAAAATCCCTATTTACTGAGTCTTAAACAATATACAAATAAAAACATAGGCACCATTACTAGACCCACAATAATTTATATAAGAAATGAATAGGTAAGTGTGGGAGAGCTATGTTTCGGCACGAATGGGCCGGCTCGACCACAGTGATACCACGGACGAGCAGAACACTGACGTGAAGTAACACTTGCATTGTGTTTTGTCGCTTGAATGCGGTTACCGGAGGCCCTATTACCTCCATCCCAAATCTCCCTAATCCCCGAATCCTCGACAATCCTAAAATTCCTAATCCTTAAAAGGCCGGTTACGTATTTGTAACATCTCTGGTGTTTCAGGCGTCCATGTGCGATGCCAATTGCTTACTATCAGGTGATCCGTCTGCTCGTTTATCGGTTTTTCCATCAAAAATAAGGATATCACAAAAACCCTCAGTTTCTCTGGCCCCATCGAAGATAGTTCACGTAACACATTCCCTACTTAATTCCCGCTAGATTGAATGGCGCGGGATTTGAAGCGTGAGCCGCCTGCCAACGATGCCCACCTGACAAGTTTCCATTCTTCTCAATTTATCCACAAAGTACTACACAAGGTTACTGTCTTTCGTGGTATGTACGTGGTTTTGTGTATGAGATATTTTATTATAAGTCTGCCTCGTTGGCCGAGTAGTCGCAATTGCGACTGCTGGGCAAGGGGTCTCGGGTTCAATTCCCGGGTCGGGCAAAGAATTACTGGGTTTAAAAAAAAATAGGAGTAGCTCGGATTCTGGAATAGCTATTACACGGGACTCATAGCATAATTAGTTAAAGTGGGTGTTACATTGTACAGTGGCATTAAGTGCCGTAATGTGTACCTACCTCTGCTTACCCCTCCGGGGAAAAAGGGCGTGATGTTATGTTATATTTTATTATCAGTCTACTATGGTGTATGTGAGTACGTCTTTTTTTTTATATATGTTGCCCCACACTAGGATTTTCTCCTGTGCCGTGGGTGCATTTACAAACATACAAGTTCACATACGCATGACACCCAGACCCGGAACAACAATTTGTGGATCACACAAACAGTTGCTCGGTGCGGGAAACGAACCTGCTACATGGTGCACGGCAGCCGGTTGCCCAGCCATCGCTTCAACCGTGCAGTCAAAGTAATCATTTAGTTTTTTTTTAATTCAAAAAATGTGGTAGGTACTATTTTGGTTTGTAAGTATTTGTATTTTATGGATGTGTATTTTATGGTAGGTTTTGTATTTTAAGGAGTAGTGGTGTGTCTAAAATTATTATTGCAAGACTTGAATTCAACTACAAAGGACTTATAACTAGAGGAAAGTTTTTTAAGCACCTTGACTTCGATCAATAAGCACTTCCGCTTACCCATTTTTATAGTAAAATATGGTATCAATTGTCCAGCTGACAAGGGAGTTTGTCTTAACCTAGGCTTAATGTTGCAGGTGGTAGGAACTAACTAGTCTGTATTCAACGCAACTAGATGGCAGCACCTGTACACATTTACAATGTGATTCGTTCCCTATTATTGTTATGTTACTATTGTATCGTTATTATAATAATAATATCATTACAAATATAATATGGTTCATAAAAGAAATCAAATGACAAGAATGGTGGAATACAAAAACAATAATTAATTAGAAATGCATAGCTCTCTCTTAAAATAACCAATTTTTGTTTACTCACAAAAACCAAAGCCAACACGAGCCTTAGATGAAGATTTTAATCTAAAGTTAGTTTTTAACTAATTTCAACTTAAACTTGAATCTAATTCTAAAAACTCGGAATTTTTCATTAAACAATCATTCAATAGCAATCCCCACTAAACTATTTTAAAAACCCTTTCACAAACCAATAGAAGCCCGAGCAAAATCCACTTACATTTTAGTAGCAACTTTCTGAAAACATACTCGTACTAAAGCACTTGCATCGATTCTAACTTACCCGTGGATTGGACTTCTGAAATCGTGTATATTTTTATTCGAAAAGTTGCCGACAAGAAAATTGTCCAAGTGTACGAAATAGACGAGGAAGCGACTGTTTTTCTAGTATTCTAAGCCTAGTACTCACCCCCTATTACATGGGACTCATAACGTAAATAGTGAAAAGTGGGTTTTACTTCTGTGTGCACCTCTGCCTACCCCTTCGGAGCGAAAAGGCGTGATGTTATGTTAATCTAGTATTGTTGATTGAATATTGCAGTCAAGAAATTAACTACATTTATTTTCTTCAGTAACAAGATTATTTATTAAGTTTTTCGTTTATGCGTTTATGCGACGCAGCGAATGTTGTGCTGCTATTCCTAGTAGCGGAACGCTGCTCGTGAATATGAGTCTCTAGCATGACTTGAAACTAGTCGAGTTCCTCGTCAAACAGTTACGTGAGTCAACCGAAAACATAATAATTAATTAGTATGTCTTACAAAAGTAAGTGACAAGATTGAAAGAAAGAGAAAGAAAGAAAAATCATTTATTCG